TGAACAATGCCTCTGAACCTTGCCCTTTCTTAAGCCAACCTCATCATCTCTGACCACATTACCACAGTCACAGTGTAAATGCATCTTATCCATGGAGATGGCCCTCTAACCTTCCAAGCATGATTGTCTTTCTACAAAGCTGGTCCCTCCTGGTGGCATAATCAAAGTATGTGATATAGAGCTTCAAAATCCTTGCCTCCATGAAGCAAACAAGTTTCACCCTCTCCAGGACAGACCTGTTCTCTTGGCAGTCCATAGTAGTTCGATACTCTTTTCCAGCTCCACAACTCAGAGGCATTGATTCTTCTTTTGTCATCCTTACTCATTGTACAGCTCTCAAATACATAAGCAAGCAATTGAGAAGACCATGGCCTGGATTGATTGCACATTGGTCTCTAAGCTGACATTGTTACTTTTAGCACTCTAGAGATATCCTTGAAAGCAGATTTTTCCTAGTGCAGCTGGTCTTTTAACTTCCTTATTGATGATGCCAAAAATGTTCATGGTGGATCCAAGCAAGATGAAAGCGTTAACAGTCTTAATCCTTTCTTCATCTAGTATAATACTGCCTTTTGGCCTGGTAGTGAGAATCTTTATTCTCTTGTGCCGAGGGTGTGTTATCTTTATATATTCCATTTTAATTTTTATAGTTATTTCAATTTTTTAGTTTATTATATTAATTTTTAATTTTTATTATGGAATAATTTTTCATTTATTTTAATGTTTATAAGAAATAATCATCACCATTTCATTGTCATTAAGTCAGAACAGATTCATAGCTGACCCTCCAGTGCATTGTTGGAGGCATTTCAAAAAATGGTGATACAATAGAATGTGGAAATAATCAAACAAATGTAATTAATGTCACATGCAAGTAAAATCTTGCTGAAGATTATTTTAAGATGACTAGAACAGTACATCAACAAAGAATTGCCAGAAATATAAGCTGTGTTTAGAAGATGACATGGAACTAGGAGTATTATTGCTGATGTCAGATGAATCTTGGCAAAAATCAGAAAAGGATGTCTTTCTGTGTTTTATTAACTGTGTAAAGACATTTGACTGTGTGGGTCACACAAATTATGGCTAATATAGAGAAGAATGAGAATCAGAGATCACTTAATTTTGCTCTTGTGAAATCTCTCTAGTCCAAGAGGCAGTTGTCTGAACAGGGCAAGAGAACATTGCAAGGCTTATAATCAAGAAAGGTGGGTCAGGGCTGGAACCTTTCTCCATACCTATTCTATCTGTATACTGAGCAAATTATTCAAGAAGCTGGACTTTATGAAAAAGAATATGACATCAAGATCAGAGAAAGACTCATCATTTGCCTACACTATGCAAATAATGCAACCTTCCGTTCTAAAAGTGAGGAGGACTTAAAACACTTGCTGTAGAAAATGAAAAATTACAGCCTTCTCAACATCAAGAGAACAAAAACCATCATTACTGGACCAATAGGCAACATCATCATAATAGAGAAAAGATTGAAAATGTCAATTATTTCATTTTGCTTAGATCCACAATTAACACCCTTGATAGCAGGAACTAAGAAAATTAAAAAAAATGTGTTGCTTGGGAAAATCCACTAGCAAGGACCTCACCAAAGTGCTGAAGAGCAATGATTTTAGTCTAAAGACTATGGTGTGCCTGATCCTCACCATGCTCTTTTCA